ATACTTTATAGGGTCGAAATCGCTTCCTTCTATCTGTTTTCACTGATACGCCACTAAACCGCTCGGGCGCTATACGCTAGCTGGCGCTGTAGGCCAAGTGGCGCTATAGAAGAAGAGATAGGTGGCGATATAGGCTAGGTGTGTTAGTGAAAGAAGCATAGTTGCTTCACGCATATCTCCATCCATCTACATATGAGTTATCTTTCATTGTTATTATTATTATTAATTGTAGCACCTTTTTTAAATTTCACTGTCGTTTTACGATTTTTGCGGTGTTTGATATGAATTTTCGACAAAATCAAGTGTTTCTTTATTTTTTTTTTAGTTTGCACATGTCAAGTTGTAATTTTAGGTTTGCGTTTCTTGATTACCGTTACTCGTGATTAAAAGAGTATACTAGATTTGTCGGAAAGTATGTAAAAGGTAGAAGGAAGCGTTTCCGACCCCATAAAGTATATATTTCCTTGATCAGGATCACTAGCCGAGTCGATCTAGCCATGTCCGTCTGCCCGTCTGTCCGTCTGTCCGTATGAACGCTGAGATCTCGGAAACTATGAGAGTTACAATACTGGGATTAGGCACGCAGATTCCTGAGATTCCTGCGCAGCGCAAGTTTGTTTCAGTAGAGTGCCACGCCCACTCTAACGCCCACAAACCGCCCAAAACTGTGGCTCCTACAGTTCTGATGCTAGAATAAAAATTTTAACTGAAATGTATTGTTCTCATCAATACCTATCGATTGACCCAAAAAAAAGTTTGCCATGCCTACTTTAACGCCCACAAGCCGCGAAAACCTGTGACGCCCACAATTTTTATGCTAGATACAAAATTTTAACTGAAATGTATTGTTCTCATCAATACCTATCGATTGGTCCAAAAAAATGTTTGCCACGCCCACTTTACCGCCCACAAACCGCGAAAACCTGTGACGCCCACAATTTTCATGCTAGATAAACAAATTTAACTGAAATGTATTGGTCTCGTCAATACCTATCGATTGGTCAAAATTGGACCTACCCATAAGTTAAATCTGTAGCCGTATCGCCCCATTCTCTATTAGCGAGTAACTATCTGACCGATCAGATAAGCGTTCTTTGAAATCTAGTATATACTGACGGCCGGGTATTCCGGCTTTGCCGTACTTGTCGTCTGGTCATATCTCTATGTTGTCCGCTTGAAGCTGAGTCAAACATGAGGTACTCTGGACCAGATTCCTGAGTCCGCGCAGGCAGTAGAGTGCCACGCCACTCTAACGCCCACACCGCCAAAACTGTGGCTCCTACAGTTTTGATGCTAGAATAAAAATTTTAACTGAAATGTAATGTTCTCATCAATACCTATCGATTGACTTAAAAAAAAGTTTGCCACGCCCACTTTAACGCCCACAAACCGCGAAAACCTGTGACGCCCACAATTTTTATGCTAGATAAAAAATTTTAACTGAAATGTATTCGTCTCGTCATTACCTATCGATTGACTCAAAAAAAAGTTTGCCACGCCCACTTTAACGCCCACAAACCGCAAAAACCTGTGACGCCCACAATTTTCATGCTAGATAAAAAATTGTAACTGAAATGTATTGGTCTCGTCGATACCTATCGATTGATCCAAAAAAAATTTGCCACGCCCACTCTAACGCCCATAACGCTTAAATCTGTATACCGCCGGTAGGTGGCGCATTTTAATCTCGCTTTGCTGCTTGCATATCTCCATTTAGCTGAGTAACGGGTATCTGATAGTCGAGGTACTCGACTATAGCGTTCTTCCTTGTTTTTTTTTTCTAGTGGTCGTTACACCCTTAGATTTAATTTGCAGAAGTGGGGGTGTAGCCCAACCCCCCACCCCCCCAATTTTTTATTTTTTTAATTTAATATGTAATTTATTTTTGATTTCAATGTTATAAAGGAAGTCATGGTCGTCTTCTTTCTTATGGTCAGCACCGTCTAAAAATCCCTCTGTATGTTTTAAGTCACATGATAGCAATGCTATGACTTCATGTGGAAGGGGAAGTCGCTTATGTTTCTGAATGCGCCTGTTTAAATTTACCGATGAAATTATGGGATTGGAAGTCCATTGCTCTTTGAAACACATCTGTGAAACCACAAATTCTGCTATGCTTCCTTGCCTGGTGAAGTCTTACAAACAGCTCTCCTTGCCGCTTGTACCAGTAACCTCGAGTTATGTTTCTAAGCCGAGAGCGATGGCTGCTGCATCCTTTTTCTGGCGTACTGTGCCTTTTAAAGAATATGTCATTTTTGACGTCCATTTTATTACCTTTTCGGCTCTACTTTTCTTTCGTTTCCAATTAATTCCAAGCGAACTTGTCCATCCATAGTGAAGATGTCCATTTTTCTATTGCAATTTTGACAAAATGGAAAAATTTACGGAAAACACTCGCGCTTTCTCCTTTAAACGAGTTTCATTCATCTAAGGAGTATTGTCGAGGATGTGCCCACAAGTTAAAGCGAATACAGCACTCTGTTTGTCACGGCCGTAGGTTTGCTTGCGCCACACCTCTAACAGGGCCGCATTGCATATCGCGAGGTTGCTACATAAAAATGTAATTTTTGCAAAAAACTTGCAAAAATCCCAGATTGAGGCTGGATTCTTTAAACTAGGAATAAATCACTCTAAAAGATGGTCTAACACACTTACTCAACAAATTTCAACATTTTTTATACCCGTTACTCGTAGAGTAAAAGGGTATACCATATTCGTCGGAAAGTTTGTAACAGGCAGAAGGAAGCGTTTCCGACCCCATAAAGTATATATATTCTTGGTCAGGATCACTAGCCGAGTCGATCTAGCCATGTCCGTCTGTCCGTCTGTCTGTCCGGATGAACGCTGAGATCTCGGAAACTATGAGAGCTAGGCTATTGAGATTTGGCGTACAGATTCCTGAGCTTCTTACGCAGCGCAAGTTTGTTTCAGTAGTCTGCTACGCCCACTCGAACGCCCACAAACCTCCAAAGAAAAAAGCTATGACGTCAGAGCCAGACAATGCGAAATGTTTTTACGCGTGTATGTGTGTGTATGTAAATAGTTGCCGGCTGAACTTAGCGGCAAAGAAAAAAGCCCTGCCGGCGCTCAGAGAGAGCAAAGTGCGCGGCTAACTTACTCTATTGAATAATGAACCCTTTATCCATTTGTGCCATTGACGGGCAAAAACCTTTAAAGATCTGTACATCTTTATTTATCTCTTTCAAAGAATATGAATTAGCTTAATAAATACCTATAGATTGTCCCAAAAAATTTTTCCGTTTTCAGTCCAATGCTCTCAACCAAAGTAGTTAGGACAAGCCTTGACACTAGAACCAGAAAACGACATACATACATACATATGTATTTATGCATGTGTGTGGACGTAAAAAATTGCAATCTAATATCCGCGGCAAATAGAATTCTTTCAAACAAAGCTATTCAACCAAATATTTTGAAATACAGAATGTGCCATAAAATTGTGTATGTTTAGCAAGCATACATAAATATAAATGTTTTTTGTCTATTTTATGTGTTGCTTTCTCATTCTTGGCGCTGGCTGAAACAAAAGCAGAGCCGAGAAATGAGAGCAAGGGAGAGAGAACAAAGTGCGCGGCTAACTTATTTTAAAGTTTGTTATCTGAGTAACGGGTATCTGATAGTCGAGGTACTCGACTATAGCGTTCTTCCTTGTTATAAACTCTATTCAAAGTGGAAATTTCATATAAAAAATTATACCAAGACATCACTTGCTAAATTTATAAATTGTTTGAAAAATACACACAAAATAAGGAGTATATTCATTTTAACATATAGTACACACATGCAGAAGAAATATCCATTTCAAATTTGAAGGATTTACCTCTTGTCGTTCAAGAGATATAAGTTTTAGATTTCACAAAAAAATTAGGCTCAACGGACTCCCGTGCTGTTCGCTTGCAGCAGCTGAGTTTGACAGCTGTTACTTTAACAGTGGCCTGTTAAGTTAACATTTCCGTTATGTAACATAACATTTTGATCTGTTCTTAATTCGTTAACATCAACTTTTCGCAATTTTGAATACTTTTGAAAAACAGATTTATGCCAAAAAAAACAGGGCATAGTGCACTGTCAGAACGATCGGCTTGCGTTTGGTTATTTTAAAATATTTTTTAAGAGACGGTTTACAATACGCATAATTATTAAGAAACTCCTATTAACACCCAAAGTACATTTTATAAGATTTAGTTGCAGTGTACATTCAAATTTTTTTAATTTGTCATACATATCTAGTAGATAGTATCTAGCTGACTCGAACCATTCCAATCGCACTATTAGTTTAAAAGATATAAGTTAATAAGTTACAAAGATTTTGAATGGTGTTTGCCGTTTTTTTTTTTTTGATTTCTGATACTATAATCGTTTATCTATTAATCCTTAAAAGATTGCAGATGTATAAGACCGGTTAAATTCCATGTGCTGATTTTGGTATAGCAAGAAGAAGGTATCCTTTAGGGTTAAACGTTCACTGTCAAATTACATTTGCCCACCGACTCGTGTAATCATTTCGAACATTATTTTTGCAACTTTACAGGTGACCATTCACATTTTTATACCCTTGCAGAGGGTGTTTTAATTTTATTCAGAAGTTTGCAACACAGTAAAGGAGACATTTTTATTCGATCTACAAATGTCCGTCTTGTTTCCGCCCGACCGTGTACTGGTCTATCAGATACAACTTTCACAAAAGTTTTAAAATTAAATTTTTTTACAACGATCGGAAAACACAGGGAGTTAACTTAGTCATTTAAAGACAAACGGGGATTTACGTCTCATTAGGTGTGTTTCAACTTTTGACGCAATTTATTTACATTTACTTGGAATATAACGGAAATATATAAAAAGGTTCGCAAAAAAGTGTATATTAGTTGTATTGTCACACACGACCCATATTCCCAATGTTTTATGGCTGAAATCAAACAAAAACATATTTGTTCGTTTTAAATGTCACATCTATGTATGTATATTAAGTATGATATTTG